GTGGTAGTGGAAGTGGCAGTGGTAGTGGTGGTAGGGGCAGCGGCAGTGGTCGTGGTCGCGGTCGTGGTGGTGGTGGTGACTGCAGCAGAAGCAGCATAACTATCTATCGCTCTTCTCACTTCATTCGCGGCTCACGGAGCCTTCCTTTCTTTCACCGGCCCATCCGAGAAAGCCAGGCCCCAGGAGGAGGGCGACCTGTAAGTGTACCTCTCAGTACTCTGAGTCGCTTCAACTTTTTCAATGCCCACGGTATGAAAAGACGTCTTCAAGCATTCGAGTACGTGGATGGCTGTAGACTGAACAGTGGCGCCACTGTCAATAGATGGCAGCATCCGAAAAGCCATACAAATAACAGCAATACATAACAGTCACGGTCAAAGCGATGCATGAAATCGGTCACTTTATTTACACTCCAGAGAAATGAGAGACCAGCTACAGGAGTCACCCGCTGCTGGTGATGTATGCTGCTCACTGCTGCACTCACCTCGAGAAGTACGACGACTCCGCCAATCCAAGGTCGTGATGTAGAGTCTGATTCTGCCAAAACACCTACGGCGGACACAAACGCAGGTGTTTTGCAAAGGTGACGTCCAGCTGGTGTCCAGGCACAGCCTGAGCTCCGCAGCATCAAGCCGTGCGGAAGATGCTGTGGCGCTGCCTTCTGGGGACCAGGATCTGGCCCGAAAAACACATCGGTCATCCCAAGACAAGTAAGTGCAACCATCGGACGCAGCACCACGCAAACTCAGAGAGTTGCTGGCTCAACTCACGAGAGATGACTCGAAAATTCCATGCAAGGCGCTGCGCGCTGAAGCCTCAGCCGGTACGTCAAAAGGCTCCCTGTCTTCCCCACTTCCATCGGCCAGGACGACCGAAACGACATCAAGCATGCGCAGCGTCCGTTGCTCGGAAGTTATGAGCACACTTTGGAAAATTGCTCTGCATTTCAAAGTATTCGGCAGTACAGGAAGGTTCGAGAACTTGCTACGGGGTGTGTTGTCCGTGTGGAACGATGGCACCCGACCGCCCATGCAAGAGCAAAAGCAGATTTCGAATTTGGCACTAGCACATCGGGAGGTCGTAGAGCTCAATCTATGACCTCCTCAGCTTTGTCATCGTTGTACCAATCATCTGCATCCGGCCTGGCCGGTACCGCGGCCTCAGTCTTTCCTGCTTGCGCCCCGTCATCTCCTAGGCGCTTTGCAAAATCTGAACAGAAGCGTGTGTGATATCCCGTGCGTACGACCACCACCACTGACAGCCTTCACCCCTAAACGTCCAAGTGGCGAGGCGACAAGAGGATGGGCATCGGCTCAGCGGGCGTCTTTGGGAGAGGAACACTCCCGGGCAGCTTCGTTGGACTCTGCTGGTCCCCGTACATCTGCCTTGCTCTGATATGCCATTTCATGCAAGACACCGTAGCGTGACATAACATGTGTATAGGTACAAACACAATCATGCGCATGACTTGGTAGTGCGGTATAGTCAGTCTTTGTCTTGTAACTGACTTATTCATGTCGGATTCATGTCGTCCGTCATTTTCTGCGTGGTTTATGCACGACAGATAATTTTGTTCGTCACCTCCGCCAAGAGTGCATATTCGAGAGGCGACATGTTAAAAACTGCATACATGCGCAACTATGTATGTCTACTCTACACGTTTGAATGCAGACACACACACACACTTTCTTTCACCAGGGTTGTGGTGAAGGGCTTGCGGCCCCTCACTTCTCTCTGTCTCCCTGAATTCACTTCACTTCACTTCGGAGCGTAAGGGACGGGATGGACGGATTGGATTAGGTCCCCCGAGCCGCTTGGCCCTCCTGTGGCTGTGTGGGGAGACGTGAAAAGTCCGCTCTGCACCCAGGTCGTACAAAGAAATGGATGCCGGGTTTGATGGCGAGAAAGGGTTAAGGCTTGTGGTTGCGAGACTCTCTCTTCTCTGTCTTTCTTGCTTGCTGCGGGCCTAAGGGAAGGGTATCACCTTCACCCTCTTGCAAGGGGGGCTTATACGTCCTGCGTCCAGCGCAAAGAGCCATCCCGCTGGCCCATGTTACACCTTTAAACCAACCTGCAGGCCTGGCGCCCCACCTGATCCCGAAGCAAACCGAACCTTGCACATCACTGCCTTTCACATTTATCCCCTTTCTTAACCAACAGCGTCGGAAAACAAACGACATAATCAAGCACTCTGCAACCATACGAATGGCTTGCTTGCGAGGGGTGTAGGCAGGTGTAGGGCCCCGGGAGGCCTTTGGCGGGCCTTCGGGCTACCTCTCACGGTTCGCATCCGTCTGTCCGCTTGGCCCTTATTCGGAAAGCCAGGCACCTGTGACTCGGGTCATCCGCTCCGTCGACTTAGTGACTTAGTGAGACGGCTGGACAAGAGGCTGTAAACGCAAAGCAACCCCGAATAAGGTGGGCTCCTCTCTTTCTTTTTTTCAGCGGGCTAGGAAAGCAGATTTCCGCCTTGCTCGTCCGATTTTCTCTCTCCTCCTCCACACAGCCAAGAGAGGCCTTCGTCCCCTCCCCCCTTGCGCCCGCACGCGCCCAGGTTGCACTGTGCACTTTCCCCCCGATACTGAACTCTTCTTCCACAGAGCTCGGGGGATGTGCGAGATCCCCCGGCCGCTAGGGACCCCATACTTTATGGGGCTTTGAAGGGATCGCGAAAACTTCTTACCGTTCACATACTTTGTACTGAACTCTCTCTCTCTCTCTCCCTCTCTCTCTACCGGGCAAGGAGGGGCAGCGGCTGCTAGCCCCCCCGCACACATGCGCGCACCCGCCACTGAACTCTCTCTCTCGCTCTCTCTCTCTCTCTCCCAGTCTCTCTCTCTTGCTTGCTTGCTTTCTCTCTCTCTCGCTCCTGTAGAAGTTGGTTGCCCGTATTATTTTTCTTGCCTGTTGTATCTATCTGGCTTGTGTAGTTATAAGTTTGTTCTTTCAGTACGTATACGTTTACGGGTGGTTGCATGTGCTCAAGCTTTAGCAACGGCAGCATTGAGCTGAATCTGAAAACCGGACTTCCGAAACAGCAAAGGTTGCTCTGCGCTGGTAACCAAGACTTGCTGTGGTGTGCGTATTCATCAGATACACAGGGCTACAAACACATCTGGCAAAAAACGCATTTTGCCTGTAAGTCTTTGATCCTGAACGCTTGCGGCTTGCGCAATGTTGTCATTGCATCCGAAGGGCTCCAGGGAGGGGTTGCAGGGCGCCAGCGGCTCAGCGGAAACGGCATCACCTCAAGCTCTGGAAGACCGTATGAGCGCTGCGGGCTTGTAGGAGAGTTTGAGGAGATCTTGGGCAAGGCAGTCCGAACACTCTAATCGGGGAGCATGTGGCGACTGACTGCTAGTGCTGGGAATCTGCATTCACCTCCACTTCTACATTTGCAGGCCATGGTTGGGTCGTTGCAGCCAACCCCACCTCGCAGCGTGGCGATGCAACGCTGCGCCCCCGTCAATGCTACGGTGGCGGATTCCTCGCTGCATGGTGCCGGCACTTCTCCATGCTACTCTAAGTCTAAGCAGAGCAAAGTCAGTCCGAAAACAGCTCTCGTCCCAATTAGCCCCGCATGCCTTGACGATATCCACCGTGTCCAGAACACCATCCTTCAAGACACCCGGACCTGCAAAGGATTGCTCGTTGTCTCTGATGGCGTTGCCACATTCAAGCTGCGCGGCATGCAGACATCTACACCATGCGGCGCAGGGGCCTTTCTCCCGAACTTCCACCACTGCCCGTCCCACTTCATCCACAACCCAATTCACCGGCTGCTGTTGGATCACGTCGGAGTGCACTCGTATGATATCCACAAGCACCTCCTCGCCGGTGTCCATGCCTTCGAGTTGCAGCGCGGGTGCCAGCTACATGCCTACGGGGATGATCCCCGGGGATGAAACCGGGCTACTTTCATGTACTTGGATTACTCGTATCCTAAGCAAGTCAGGCAGTGAGTCAAATCCTGCCCCGCCCCAAATACAGCGACCACCTTTGACAGTTCGAAACAAGCCGGGATGCGCATCACACGCGCTCTCGGAGGGTCGGAGATGCTGTCCACGGCATAGACTTTGGCCATGACTGGTGGCTGACCTGGGCCCGCTCTTCATGATGCTACGACCGGGTGCATTCCCATTGAACCTGCGGGCAGCCGGTGAAGAGAGCTACTCCATGCATCCGTGCATTTATGCATGCCAAAGTTGCCGTTTGACAGGCTGATCTGCACCTGACACCCCATGCCTACGACAAGTGCCCTCCCAGATCGCGACCAGATATGCCGTGCGTTCAACGTGGGTTGTCTGCCTTTGAAGACAATGGTTTTCGGAAGGCTTTTCTGGCAAAACCTATGACATTAAAACATGGTTTCGGTAGCATACAGACTTAGGCTTTTGATCTATACAGAGGGCCTCCAAGCTACTGCGTGGGATCTTGTTTAGCAATCATCCCTGCAGGCCAATCATCCTCCTGGCATAACTGAGTACGGAACAGTATCGCCCCCCGCCACACATCCTCCTCCTTCTGCTGCTCCGCCACTACACTGACACCACTGCTGCCGCTGCTGCTACTACGCAGAACTACGACTGCCAGCACCACTACCACTAGCACTAGCACTACCAAGACGGCGATGGCGACGGCGACCACAACAGTTCAACAACAACCACCGCCACAACAGCAACAACAAAAACCACCAGTACTGCTTCTACTACTTCGACTTCTACTTGTGCTGCGACTTCTACTTTTAGTTTCTACTTTCTACTGCCTCCTTCCTACTTCCACTTCCACGTCCACGTCCACTTCTACTTCTACTGCTGCTGCTGCTGCTACTACCACTACTACTACTACTACCACCACCACCACTACTACTACTCCTGCTGCTGCTGCTACTACTACTACTTCTTCTTCTTCTTCCTCTACTTCTTCTTCTTCTACTACTCATCCTCCTACTGCTGCTACTGCTGCTACTATTGCTACTGCCGCTACTACTGCTACGACTACTACTGCCTGCAAGGCTTTATTGAGTCGGACTGCATTGGTCAGGTTTGAGAGAGTTTCATTTCTTTTGACATCGCCTCATCACCCGACTCCGGTGCGCGACCATCGGGCTCGATGCGCAACAAGGGCCGTTCCTGGGTAAGAAGACCCACATATGTGGATCGGGCAGACGCGGGCTTTCTAGAGAAAGGAGTCTTCATGCACCGGAACCCACCAAGGCTCAAGGGAGAGCAGCTGCGCGGTGCCGTTAACGAGAGCGCCTCCTGTTCATTCACTACAGCCATCCTCAAACTTTCACCAAAACTCTAAAAGGGACTTTCCGAAAATTAGGGTACCTTATTTTGGGATCCTTGTAAAAAGGATCCTACTATTTAAGGTACTACTAGTATACTAGGGTCCCCTATTTTCGTATAAAAAAAAACCATAAAGGGGCCTGCATCCTGAACCAGGTCCACTGCGTCCAAGGTGGCATCCTTCAGGGCCCCCCAGGCTCCCTTCTCGCGGAGGTCGTCGATGGTGCCCGTGATCTCCTGTAGATTGGGAGTCGATAGAATCCACAACGCATGGGGTCCGTGAGGAAAGTCGACCGAAGTTTTCCCAACTCCTTGCGGAAACGAGCTACAATCATGATTATCACCATCATCATTATTATCAGCAGACCTTCGGCGGGAGTCCTCCCGCAGTACATTCCACAAATACGCCATAACCTGAGAACAGATGGCAGTGTCTCTATCTGGTGAGGACGCTCGTAACGTAGCCAGTCACTAGTCGGATTGTCGAATAATCTGCACTCACATGCTTGATTGAGTCCCGGCTGCTGTACAGCTTCGTCAGGGGCAGCTGCTCCCAAAAAAACAGCTTGAGCAGACAAGAGCTTGACATGAAACGAGCATGTCGGTCCACCTGCATGCCATGTTGAGAGACGGTTCTTGGTTCTTTTTTTAATCAAGTACCCCCTGACCCTGACGCTGACTCTGCTACTGCCCCTGAGCCCAAGCACACCCAGGAGCTTCTTTCCACAGCCATTCGGCAGCGATCTTAAGCTGCTCGTGGGCCTCGGAAACGGCGGACTGGCATGGCCCTCAGGGCCTCGGTGCCGGCTTCCCTGGTAGCTGCTGACCATTGCAGACCTCAATCTCGAAGTGCGCCTCATCCAGCGTGATGTGCTCGATCTTGCTAGAATAACTCATGTTGCCTTCTTCTGAAGCCTTTCCAGCTGTGCTTTGACAGCATTCTGACACTCATCGCGCAGGACAGCGCTCACCTTTGCTTCAACACTCTGTGGCCCCGAGAGCTCGCAGACCCAACTCCGAAAGCTTCCTGAGATGCCATGGGCCATGGCCCGCTGCAAAGCAAGCTCCGGAGATAAGACATCAGACCTACGACCTCCCTTTCCAGAATGAAACGGAGCCGTCTGCAGCTAGGCGTCGCTTGCAAGCAGCGTAGGCCGCAGGAGGCGTTGTAGCCAGGTCAAGTGCTCGCTGCGTTGCCCGCGCGTGCAACTCTTGAGCTTCGCAGAGCTCATCTACAAGTCCTCACAAGCATTATGAGGAGAACAACACTAACAACAAGATTGAATAACAGTAACAGTACCAATAATGATAAATCTGGGAACCGTCCGGGAGTCTGGCGAGCGGACTGATGCGCTCAGGCAAAACCAGTTGAGCTGACTTGTCTCGCCCCTGTTTTTGCACTTGTCTCGCCCCTTGCTCACCCAAGCTCCTAGCTGTGCTGCGCGCGGAGCACCGAGCAGCAGCCCCTGCAGCAGCATTCTTTCGGCCTTGTCAGAAGCCCGCAAAGCCAGCTTGTCTACATTCTGTTTCTGAGACAGCGGCCTCCTGGTATCCCACAACGCGCTCCAGCAAGGCCTAGCCGCAAGACACGCACACTCTCTTGCTCTCTCTCTCGCCCTCTTCTTTCCAAAGTGCGTGCATCCAGTCTGTTACGGTTGGGCGTCCTCTATAAGGCTTGGGCTCGCTACTCAGCAACCTGGCACTTTACCGCTGGGTCTGTCCTCGCTGCCCCCATTTGGTTCAAACCCGGGGGGGCGTCGTATGATGGACCCGACCTGCATCCACCGCGTGGGCTGCACTCCTGCACATCTTCTCTGGAACTGCTTCTGAACCGAAGAGTGCAAACGCCTCGACAACTCCCAACCCCATCGTTTTGCAGCAGACCTTGTGCAGACGGCTGAAGGTCTGAGCACACAGGGGTTCAGCTCTCATGACTTCACGTCCACGCCCTGCTGAAAAAACTCGCAGGGACCACCTCAAAAACACAGCCCTAAGCCCTAAAGGCCTAAAGGTCCTAAAGTTCCTGCTTTGCAGAAGCCCAGACCCTGAGCCAAGAGCCACTGAATAAACCTAAACCCTCCGCGGTCCTATGGCAGCCTCGTTCAGGCCGATGATGGCGCGGTCCTTGGAGACCATGATCCGGTGATCGCAGCTGAGGGCCATCACGCAACCTGAACGGGTTTCGATGTTTTTGGGATAGCTTGGGACAGCTTTATAATCGAAAGCTTCGGAATCTTAGAATGCACGACATGGGCGGCTAAAGCTGTCGGGCTGCGTTTTTGGGGCAGAGGCTGCCAAGCCCAACACAAGGCAAGCCTCCACATGCTACTGAAGCGAAGTATCCACTAAAACTATCCCAACCAGGTTTACCACTAGGACCTTCAAACTTGCCCCAGGGAGAGGGTCTCATCATCGTCGTAGTCCCATCCTTTGGAAGCAAACGGAGATTGGGCCGAGGGGCCCCAAGCTGGGCTGGAGCCGTTGATGGCCGCAACTGTAGGCAAGGGGTACATGTACAGAGATCGCCACGTCTCCTCCATCTCAGTCCAGAAACTCAACAGCCTCAGCCAGCTGGCCAGGGGCTGCGGGCACTGCTCAACCTGCCTCAACCACAAGAGATCCCTGTCGCAGGTGGCACTTGTCCTGTTCGATTTCGACCATGCCCTATCGCGCCCTCTACGCCTCTGCCAAGACTCAAGAGAATGCCCGTGCTTGCAACTGAGCCGGTGACTCTGTTCGCGGTTGTGTGAAGGTGGTCAGGTCTAAACCACCGCAGAAGCACTTCAGATCGCTAGTCAAGACAACCGCCTGGGGTGGGATTTCAGCCGCGACATGACTACAAGAAATTTGTCGGTTCGCGCCTTGGCTTCGTGCTGGACATCCTGAAGAGCAGCACGGAGGGTCTGTAGCAACCTGACATCAGCATGACCGGAAGGCAACCTGCATAACCAGTTACATAACCTACATACACTTGCCAAATCCTTCATAAAGCCCCAGCTCATATGATGCAGTTAAGGAACGCCTTGTTGAACGCGTTGACCGGCGCTCGGCTCATGGTCAACGTCGCCACCCGGTGCTCGGAGATGCTGACATCAATGCTCCGGCGCAGCAGGCTGCGGAGCATAGCGGCTAAACCGATCGATGGCTACCCTTGAGGCCTTCTTCTACCCTTGAGGCCTTCTTCGAATGCAGTGGGCAGCAACAGGGACTACGTGGGCGCCTCGAACTTCTGAGTGCCAGGCTGCTTCCGCAGCTACTGGGCCTCGGCTTACGTCCCGGAAAAGAGACCCACGCAGTTTACCCAGAGACTTTTAAGGTTTAGGGTTTATCCAAAGTCTGCAGTCTGCAGTGCTCCGTCAGAGAGCGCACGTTGAAAGCCTGAAAGGTAGCGAGGCGGGTTCCCAGATCAAAATTTTCCGAACAAGCAGGGAGAATTGGTTAGTACTTGATCAGCCCGTATTATATTATGGAACTAACTGTCGTTTGCTGTCTGTTTAAGACTCGACGATAGTATACTATAGCGTGCTACTTTAACCTAAATGCAGAAAACGAAATCCCCAATCACCCAAAGATGCTGGGTAGTTCTCCAAATTCAGGGTCCCTTGTAGGGTCCCTTTTTTCAGGGTGCCGTACTATCTTGGGGCCCACTAACCCTGATTTAGAGAACTACCCAAAGAGTACTACTGGTACTACCTATAGCATCTTCATATCATAGCCTGCTACAGCGACCATCTCGTAGTAAGAAGTGTCAATGATGCCCAACGCCATCTTCTGGCCACTCTGCTCCGCTCCGAGACTCCGGGGTCCCTACGGGGTCTCAAAGTCCTCGGCAAAGGCCTCCCGCAACTTCTGGCTCCAGGCATGTACGCTCTCACAACTCGGACAGGCCAGGCGAGGTTCATGGTGAGAGGGTCCAGGGTGAGGATGTTTTGAGGTGTAAGGTCTTTCGGGCTTCTTGGGGTTCAGGCCCTTTCTTAGGAAGCTCGGGGCTTGCGAGGCTTGAGTCCGCATAGTTTTTGCCTCCCGCCTGGGGCTCCATACATGCCAGGCCGATTCTACCGACTCCGCCCCGCCTCCGCCTCCGTCGCTTCAGCCGCCTCCGATTGGAGCAGATCTGGCCTGGGAAAACCGTCGTTGCTAGAGATTCGGAAGAAGAGCAACGATACGGCTCGCAAGCATGTGTTCTTCTAAACAACGGGGCTGATGTTTAACAACACAGCGACATCGCCATCGCGCCACGAATCGGCATCATCGTCATGCCACTGGCAACTTACCAAAAATTGTGCACAATAAAGAGTACCTGCGAAGAACAATCACACTCCCCCCCTCCACAGGGTTCTTGGCAGTCTCAACACCGTGAGACATTGATTGACGGCTGCCCCTGCTCTGTTAGGCCCCGTGCGCATTGAGTAATGGTAGCTCTTCCACCTTTGCACCTGTAAACAGCATGAGGCTTCCGGCAGGGCTCCGCAAGAGGTGCACGCTTCCATGTGCAAGCTGTGGGCGGCACCAGATCCAACTGCACGGACGTTGGGCATGGCTGCTTGGTGCTGATGGGGGGACAAGCGACGAGATTACGCTTGCTGGCAAGCTTTTTTCACAAGGGACTCGACTGCTGCCCTTACTGACGGTTGGGAAGATCTCACAAAAGGGTGCCATGTTCTTGTCGAACTGCTGGTGCTGTCTAGGGGGGGCGGCTGCAGGCACTTCCGCAAAAAGTTGCAAAAGCATGCAAGATCATCTTGAATGGAGAAGACGGGCTACGAGCGAAGCCTGCTTGCAATAGTGGCGAATATCCAGGAACAGGATTAAAAACATACTCATGAACTCTAGCTCGAGGCCAAGCGATTGCCAGACAGATGGGACCGTTTGGGCTGGACCTTAGGGCTGGTCCATGCTCGGACACTCGGCCCATCTGGGACTCCGTCGAATGAGATCTCGAGTCACGATTGGTCAGTGTGAAACACCAAAAGTTGGCATAGGACCCGTCCTGAGTCCAAAACCCTACAGAATCCCTAAGACCTTCTAATGGAAACTTTCTCTCACCGAAGTGCCAAGGCCTCTTTGCTGACTACGTTCGCTTCCGGGTCGCCCATTCTCAGTTGGCGAATCTTCGTTCTCTGGAGCTGTCGGACCACCCGGGTCATCTCCTCTAAGAGACCACGCACCTCCATGTTTAGCGTGTCGAGCCCGGTGCCCTCGAATGCGGAAACCTGGAGGGCGTCCGGATAACGAAGCAAGAGAGACTTGATGTTCTCCTCGGTCTCCTCCTCCTCGACATCGATCTTCGTGATCACGTCTAGCCAAGGCCTTCGGGGGAACTTTGCCCTCAGAGCTTCACGCAGCTTCACTTGCTTCTCCACGTCAAGAAGCCCGTGCGTATACGGGTACGGGTCGAAGACGAAAACCACTGCCGTCGGAAGGTGCTCCATGGAACCCATGGTAAGCTTGTCCATGAGGTTGTGATCCCCACCGGAAGTCCTGAGGCCGGGCGAGTCAACGATCTGACCGTGGATGAGGAGCGGTGTTCCGGCGATGAAGTGCCAAAGGTGGCCTATGGTCAGCTTCTTTGTGGTGTACGGGTAGCTGTTCACCTCCGGCCGGCCAGTGGAGATCGACCGCACCAGCGAGGATTTGCCCACGTTTGGAGCCCCAACAAACACAACCGTGGGCTTATCCAGATCGATGCTCGGGGATTTGAAGATGGCGCGCTGGCAGCCGATGAACTGCTGGAAGACGGGCTCCCAGTCCGTCACCAAGTCAAAAATCTCTTCGATGCCCTCGTCGGCGATGAAAGTCGCGAGCCTCCCGCGTTCCGCCTGCATGCTTCCGGTTGCACGGTACGTGCCGAGCGCGTGAATCTGGCGCCGCAGGTCCTTGAGACAGGCCAGAGCTTTCCCAAAGGCCACACCTGTCTTGTTCCAGTGCTGCGTAAGCGCCAGCTCCACACTCAAGCGTTCGAAAGGATGCAGCTGCCTGATCAGGCGAGGATACTGGAGGACCGCCTTCAACTGCCGATTCATGTAGTTCCTGACAAACTTCACCCGGTCTGAACCGTAGACCCTGAATCTTTGACGGATGTCCATGATATGATGCTTGATTTTCACCTCTTGGCGGGTGGTGATCTCTTTTCTGCACTGGTTGACCATGTCGATTGCGGAGGTGAGCTCCTTGATCTGCCGTATCTCGGTCAGGGAGCCAAGGATTGGCTCGTCGGAGTAGTCGTAGATGGCATCCTCCCCGAACTTTCCCCCGACACCATCGTAGACCTCTCTTTGCTGCGGATCGCTGAGCCATCGGAAAGCTTCCTGGGCCTGGATGAAGACTTGTGCAGCATCTTCGGAGGAGTTCACGTCCGGATGCGTCTCGCGGATCACCCGCTTGTAGGCAGCTCGGATTTCATCCTGTGAGGCGAGCTTGTCCACACCTAGCACTTCGTAGAAGTTCACGCCTTTCGGCAGATCATCCGAAAGACGGACCCTTTTGTACTGCTTCGTCGCTGCCAAGCGTGTCCTCCGTGGACGGTGCGAGGAGCCTCCTATCTGGCTCAGCACTGCCACGACAGAGCCAGCTGCCACAAACACTCCACCGAAGCCATCTGACCCATGTCCTTCGCGTTCCCAGGCTGGGCTGAGCCGTGACCGGCAGTCGGCTGCACCAGTCGATTCAGCGAAAGTCGGGTGCCTCGGGGTGATAGGATCAGCGACGCGGCCGAGCATGGCAAAACGAGGCCGGAGTTAACACACGCAGTATCGTATGCGCCCTTCGCATGGGCAGTGCTCACCACATGTGCCTCACGGGGTTGCAATGGGCAGTAGCCTGCTAGTTGCCAGTTCTTCGGTGATTGGTGGGTGCGGCTGAGGATCAAGCGTTCTCGGCTGTGAGGTTCCACTAAGCTCAAGCATCATCTTGCCTACCGTGTTGTGATCTTCTTCGGTGTTGCTCGTGTCTGGAGCTTCAGATGTGCTTGAGCCCTCGCCATTACTTGAGGGTTGGTTTGGGGTTTCGGCAAATGGTCGCTAGGTTGCACCAGGGTCCGGGCGGCGTTTCACTTGCATCAAGCGAATTCGACTTGCCCGGAGATGTTGGGCCCTGCGTGGCGTTTAACTACAGCGACACATCATTTTGGTGAAACTTTCTCTTCGGGACCCGCCCGCTGCCAGCTTCACCCTCAGGTGTCAGAGTTGTGAAGCTGGTATCTAAACGAGCCTGGCAGGCCTTCCAGCAGTTGCTGGACCGCCGTTTGCCCACGGGCCCCCGGGTCTCAGACGACCGTTGCGGCAGGCAAGAACTAATTTGTACCTAATAGCCAAGTTGGCTTCTGCAGAATCATCTGTCTCGGCTCGTACAGACGTGGTCTCCGTTGTGCTTGGCTTGGAAGATGTGGGGCACTCTTCGTCGTCCAGCTTGACGGCAGAAATCAGGTTTCCCTGCAAGTTGTGGTTGACCTTAGTTCTCTCTCTCCGCATATGACCGAATACCTGCGGAGTCAATTTCTCGGCCCCTGTTGATTCTCTCACCTCTCTAACCCCTACATCTTCGTAGCTTTCGCTGAATCAGGTAAAGGGCACCACCACGATCCTGGAGAGACAACGCTTCACAACCCATCTTGACGCACGAGTCTCCATGGCACGTCGATCACAACTTTTTGCAACGCAAGCACGACCATCCTTGTGGGGTCCCTAAAATGAATTCTTCAAACCAGGAGTAGTCCATAAAATGAATTCTTCAAAACAGGAGTAATCAGCTAAAGCCGATGTACCTTCTAGGGCTCACGGTCTCCATCATCTGGGCACTGTGGGCACCAGGTCGTGTCTTGCCCACTGCAGCCGCAGGATTCCGGACAAAGCCAGGCGCCGGTTCGGAGGCTCATTGGGAAACTATCACCGCCAAATATCTTAACGGGGTCCGGCTTGCATATGAACATGTCCAAGCTATCTAGCTCCTTCAAGAAGGCGCAGTCAGCAAACTCCAGCATACTGAGCAACTCTGAAAACTCCTTCATATCCGTCATGTTCGGCGCCATGGAATAAAGCAGTTGGTTCCAGTCACGCAAGTACCGTACCCAGGCCTCTGATCGAGTGTCGTTGACGTTCGACGTCGAAAAGTCAAGACAAGAAGCATTCTGTCGACTTGCTTTGAAGGCTGGCTCACTCTGACACTTGTGCCGGCATCCAGTGTCCATGAACATCCCACTGTCCACTGCAGTGCAGCCACATGTCTCTGGGCAGGCCATGCGCACGAGTGGATAGTTGGTGTTGTCGCAGAAGCGTTGCGCTTCAGAGCAGTTGTTGGCACCGGTCATGGCTGTGAGCGCCGACCACTCCCAGTCCAACTCGGAAGGGAGCTCATCTTCACAAGAGTTGCCGAAGGTGACGGGGTCGTCTGGCGCCGTCACAGCCGTGAGCCGGGTGAATGTCGTAAAGACCTGCTTGAGCCTCTTTGGAGCAACCTGGGCCACCACTTGGCGATCTCCCAGATGCGACCTCCAATATCCATTGCGCACATCTTCGGGGTCGTACTTCGTAACCACCTCTTCAACCAGTGAACGAATCCCAGGCTGCCAGTTCCCACCGTGGATGTCGAAGGGCTTAGTATCCATGACCATGATGGGCCCAAGTTGTGGGTTGGAAGAGTACACGAAGTCTTTGTTCCCTCCGCAGAGAATGTCTCTGGCTGTCTTGGCCTGGATAGCATTTATGCAGACGGTTTCCTGGACGAAGACCACTAGCGCCGCGATGATCATGATGAGCCGGAGAATGCACGCCACGTCGACTCCGGCCCATGTCTTGCGTGGGCCTAGCTGGAGGGTCCGAACAGAGGAGAGGTACTTGGTGGTGTGCCTGGATGCTACGACTTTCCACAAGAGCTCATCAATCTCTAGAATGAACAGCAGGGCGACGGCATTCAGCATGATATTAGTCACATCTCGGGTGTGAGCAAGCCAAAGGCCTCCAGAAATTCCCAGCGTCACTGCGATCCCCAAGCGTGCCAAGACAGTGAAAGACACCGCCGTGCGCCGCAAAGGACTGACACTCTCAAAGACTCGCTCGTCTTCGCTCACCATGCTTATGACGGTGTTGCCCCCCGGAAGCCGGTAGATGGACCAGGCAAACCTTCCGGCATCTTGCAGCTCGGCAGCAATGTAGCAGACCCAGATTGCCAGTGCGACGCTGGATAGGACCACCCCAACACTCAGGTCAGGAAACATGCCTGGGAACACGGGATCCAGGTAGGCGTCCACTTCATCCAGCAGCGAATTGTGCCACCATTCGCGCTCGAAGAGAGCCCCACCACAAATCTTGGACACCAATGAGGCGCCAGAGGAATCCATGTTGGCGTAATTGTGCCCATAGAGGACGCGCCAATTCTTCAAATGCTGTATGTCATACTTGGGATCGCTGCTCAGGAAGGAAGTCAAGACGATCCATACGAAGAGAAGTTGAAGCCCGAAGCTCGCAAGGACGCCGAAGGTGATGACAGCACTGCCAGCCGGGCCGATCTCGTCCAGACCTGCCAGCAACAAAGCATCCCAGAACGACTCTTGAAGCGGGTGATCCGATTCCGTGACAATGACTGATTTGTGTGTGATCTTTCGCGACCTCCGCGTTTGAAACTGCTCCGTCTCGGTCTCACTGGGACCGGGAAGCATCCCAGCTTCGAGTCGCTGCGCATCGCTGATGTCTTGCTCTGGTACCACATTCCCTTGCTCCTTGACAGCGACTTGCTCCCGGATCTCCCCAGCCTCAAGCCTCGTAAGGCGGTCATTGAGCACCCCGAGCTCCTCCCGAAAGTCCTGGCGGATCCCCGAGGTCTCAAGCCTTGCAAGGCGATCGCTGACGACTCGGAGCTCTTCCTGCAACCCTTCGACTCGCCGAAGTAGCTCGTTCGCAGAGTCCTGCGCCATCGGCTCTGGCTTGGCCAGGACCAGATGCGCGAGGAGCTTTGGACGTTGGGCGTGTGACTAAGAATCTTCGAGCAGACACTCCGCGGCTTTCAGGGTTCACTATAGTCTAGGTCTTGCTGACGTTTCCGGCAGTCCGTGCTGTGCATACACTATGCATCATGCGAGTCCTAGTCCTAGTCCTTTCTGTGATGCTCCTGGGGACCCGGCAAGTGAGGCGTAGCCTCAGGTTCACTTCTGATCGCCATGGCGAAAACTCAAGACACGGAGTATATGAGTATATGACTCATTGTTCATTCGTCTCTAAGTCAGCACCGTACGTTGACAAGTCTTGTCTCCAGCATGGCTACGTGGCTGTCTCGCAGCCCACACTGGACCTACACCCGTCTTCGAACTCGAAATGGCTGTGGCTTCGAAGGCATCCTGCTGATCCAGCTTTTGCATCGGCTGCAAGACTCCCACAGCGCGAGTGCAGACATCCGCGAAATCCGCTCACTGTGACGTGAAACTGAGAAGGTCGCTACACTACACCTGGACTACTATGAGAGACTACGTGAATTAAAAGTCATTCTCGGTCCACACTCTGGAAAACGACCGGACGGAGGACAGGGTCAGAAGACGAAAGAATGCGTCAATGGTCCCGAGGACATCAACTCGAGACCTGGCACGCTTCTTGTACAGAATTTGAGGTTTTGGGGGTGTGGAGTTTAGATGGGTGTGGTTCGGGGCTGAGCGTAGGTTTCAGTGCTCACAACTCGGAACAGCCGCGCGAGGTTTCTAGGTGGGCGCCCCGAAGGGTGGAAGTCCAAATGCCACTCGCGAGTGGTTACAGAAAAAATCTCCCCTGCCTGCCCATGCTATCGAGACCCTTCGTGTTTGGGCTGGAGCTGAGCTTCCACAGAGTCTTCCGCACTCACTCTCGGCATGAATCTCAGGGTCTGTTGAGGTGCAAAGGACCCAGCACTGCCAGAAATTCTGCAAGTTATATTAAACTTGCCACGTGAGTACATGACCACTGCAGTACTGTACCAGTCATTGCCGTAGGATGTCGGGATGAGGGGTCAGATTGCACTAAGAAACATGAAGCAAAGGCACGAGACGTCAGATTGCACTAAGAAACATGAAGCAAAGGCACGAGACGGGATGCCTCAAGTGGGCAATGACTGAAGAAGAGATCATCCCGATCCCTGTTGATGAAGGCTGCGCGTGTGGTTTGCTTACAACCACACTCACATCGTGTGGATGAATTGCTGGTCAGGCATCTGTACAAAGCAATTACCCGGTCCGTGGTGCACACCGTGCTAGTTTGTCATTGCGAGACGGCAGGCACGGCTTCCCCTTCACCACACCTGGAAGCTTGCTGCGAGG